GCTCCTTGGAAACCCTGTACATGGTCACATTGGGTCAGAACCAGCTCGACGGCACTGAACAACAACAACATGCATTGTAGAAGTTTCAAGACCACAATGAGAAAAGCTATATAAAAGCAATCCATCACATTGCAGCAGGAAACGTCAGATGCTATCCAGGAAGAAACCTTTCCGGTCCCAGCAAGTAGTGTCCAAAGCCAGGAGCTTTGAGAACCTGTCCTTAGCAGTGGTGATTCAGCTTCTCTGCTGTTTGACCTTGAGGGCTGTGGGAATTACAGTAAGCTAAATTCAGGGAATTATCCCCAGTTAAGTTCCCTGCTGTGGACACAATTTGATGTTGAGACAGCTTTGTGTGTTTTCAGTCTTTGTTATGTTGTTGTTGTTGTTAGGTGCCGTTGAATCGGTATCTACTCATAGCGACCTTATGCACAGCAGAATGGAACACTGCCTGATCCTGGGCCAACCTCACTACTGTTGCCACGCTTGAGTCCATCTATGCTGCCAACTGGCCAGTCTATCTCGTTGGGGGTCTTCCTCTTTTTCTCTGACCCTCCACCTTACCAAACATGATATCCTTCTCCAGTGACTGGTCCCTTCTGACAATATGTCTGGAGTATGAGAGACGAAGTTTGGCCATCTTGGCCTCCAAGGAGCACTCTGGCTGCACTTCTTCCAAAACGGATCTATTGGTTCTTTTGGCAGCCCATGGCACTTTCAATATTCTTCTCTAATACCATAACTCAAAAGCATCAATTCTACAGTCTTCCTTATTCACTGTCCAGCTTTTGCATGCATATGAGGTTATTGAAAATACCATGGCTTGGGTCAGGTGCACCTTAGTCCTCAAGCTGACATCTTTGCTCTTTATCTCTTGTGCAGCAGATTAGCCTAATGCATTATGTCATTCGATTTCTTTGTTTGTTTGTTTGTTTGTTCACACCTCTGCTTAAGCTTAAGCCATTTGATCTCTTGACTGCTGCTTCCGCGAGTGTTGATAGTTGATCCAAGAAGAATGAAGTCCTTGACAACTTCAATCTTTTCTCCATTGATATAAGAATGTTGTTTATTGGTCCAGTGGTGAGGATATTTATTTTCTTTACATTGAGATGTAATCCATACTGAAGGCTGTGCTCTTTGCTGTGATTATGAAAGCTATGCCACCGGTATTTTAAATGCCAGCAGGGTCACCCATGGTGGACAGGTTTCAGATGAGCTTCCAGACAAAGACAGACTAGGAAGAAAGAGTGACAAACTACTTCCGAATACTTACTCACTAAAAACCTTATGAATAGCAGAGAACCACTGTCTTTGTTAGAGTCTTAGCAATATTGATAGGCATTGAACCAATAGGGGCTGTGTTACTATCCAGATTACAGCTGCTCTGTGTGTGGTTATTTGTAGAGTGAAAAGGAGTAGATTATGATTTTCCTATTGCCAACAAAATAACCGCTGGCTTAAGAGCTATGAAACTCCTAAATGGGGGTTTGAAGATGGGTCCAGTTCTTGCAGTCTATCCCCAGATTAAAACTCTGGACGTCCAGGTTGATCCAAGGAGCACCTCAGACAGAGGTGTCCGCCCGCCACCCTTCCTCACTGCCTTGCACTTTGCTTCCCTCCTTGAGTTAAAACCAAATGATCCCTGTGCCTCACCTCTCCCACCTCCTTGGACTGTGAGGTCATTCACAGGGACCCAGGTGGTAGCTCTGGGCTTTGCTTGATTTGTCACACGGGGAATTTTCTAGACTCAGCTTCTTGATGTGAGAATGTGCCCAGAGTCCACACCGCTGGGGAATTTATGAAGGTTCTGGTCTAATCTGGTTACCTTAACCAGAAACTCCGAGCTGGAGAGCCAGAAGCCTGGCCTTCCTGGGTGTTAGAGCAGCATAAGCAATGACCTGCATTGTAGCTCAGTTCATTACCAGATTACCAAGGCTTCAGGTAACTGAGCAGCTGGGGAACTGGCTAGTTCACTAAGAGCAGAGGGAAGAGTAGGAATTGAGGACTTAAAACTGTGGCAGAGGGAGAAGGGAGGCCACCCTTTCTAGGCTGGTATCGGAGACCAGCCCCAGGGCAGTGGGTGGTCTTCTCTCTGGGTCTCTGCAAAGCCCTCCAGCTCCCCTCCCCGCCCACCTAGCAGTTTAGTTCTGCTCCACTCTTTGTCTCATGACTCAGCTGTCATGTCCACACCATTCTGTCAACTGCTTATTAATTTTTAGAATGCTCGGAAACACGTTCCCCTTGAAAAGCTTTGAGCTGAGTTTACAGCGAAGGGGCAATGGTTTCCCTTTGAGGAGCTCACTGACACAGGCTCCATGGTTGGGCTTCAGACAGACTCTGGATTTGCTGTCCCCGCTGTAGTAGGCCGTCCTTGTCATGTGGCCTTCCAGGCTGTTCATCCCAGAGACACTCAGCACCTGCCCTGTCCTCCACCCCGTGCCATCTTTGCCCTTGTATTCCTGGGGTGTGGCACAGCGTGGGCCAGCTCAGACTCCCCAGGAGTGACAGGCACCCCACAGACCACTCTGCTTCCTGAAAACCGGGAAGCCACCTCTATGAAGGACCTTGGTTGGGTTCTGTCCAATGTCCCTAATTTAGCCAGTCTGGAGGTGCCCCAAAGAGGTAAGGACCAGTGCTCAGGACAGGGACCCTTCTGACCCGTAGTGGTGTCTGGGGTTTACATGGACCAGTCCCCCATCAGGGCTTTGCTGTTGGTAGTGGCCATGGCTGCACACCTTTACAGACAGTCCCCACGTTACGGTTAGCAACTTGTGTACAAATCAACCCCCCAAACCTACTCGGTTACAGATTGGGGGCCGTGCAGTAGATAATAACTGCTGGGGCTCCTTTGTGGCAGCACGAAACCTTTGTTACAGATGCTTCAGTGTGCCTGCTGCAAGGGTCTCTTCTTCAACGTTACAGGTGCTTACCTGCAAGGGTCTCTCAGGGCTTTCTATGCATAGAAGGTACACCATATAGAGGGAAAAGGAGTTTTTCCACAAACTTTTTGAAGTCCTCTTGTATATACTAGTGTGGCGCTGTGGATTAATGCACCAGACTGCTAAGCCATTTGAACTGCAAGGTCGGCAGTTCAAACTCACCAGTTCTAAACTATGGGTCGGAATCGACTCGACAGCACTCAACAACAACATATATACTAAGATATTGGATATGAATCATACCTAAGTATTTCAATTTATGTACAAATTTGACTAAAAACAGACTTGGGCCTGTGACTCATTTATAAGCCAGAAACGGCCTGTGTTCTCATAGTGGTTACTGTTGGGAAGGGGGGCCCCATCACTTCCAGGAAAGTAAGAGCACCCAAGTTTACCCATCTCCCCTCACTTCCTTACATGCCAAGAACGCAGTGAACACCCAGATCCAGGGAGCCCTCCAGCTGCCCACAAAGAGTCTTGTTAACCCCTTGGCATGGAGCTAGAAGCAAGGAATGCAGGCAGGAGTGTGTCTGGTCTCTCCTAGTTTCTAGACGAATGGCGTCATGACCAAGAGAAAGAGGACACAGACATTGGGCCATCTCCACATGGAATGACGGGAGGGGAGGAGGCACCCATCAGGGATGAAAAGCTAGAATTGGAGGAATTCCGATCTCATGGAATCCTGCTTTCTTCCCTTGACAAATGAAGGCATTGCTCTGGGTTCAGCTATTGGGGCGGAGGCAAGAATGGGGAGCAGTGAGGCCAGGATCCCAGTCTGGGGACTGTCCACCTCCAGGTGGACATGTTGAGAAAGGCAAGTCAAACATTTGAACTCTGGGAAATGCTAGGAATTCAAACAGTATAGGTCTCCCTCCTTAGAATATGACAGTGTGTCAGAGTAGTTCACCTGCTACCAATATTGAGGGTTTCAGGGCCATTTGGAAGCTGTACATTCATTTTCTCCTTCACCTGAGTCTGCCTTGGTCTAACTTGCATTGTCACACCCCAGGTTTCCTTCTTAGTCATTTAGAAGCATCAGTGATACTTTATGTATTACACTTATGCAACTTTGTGTCCCATTAGGAGATGCTCTACAAACTATATTTTAAGGATAAAGTTTCTAGGTTGAAGATCTCAAAACAATGCTAAAATAAAACGTGTAACCTGTGAAGAAAAAAAATACATGTATATATATTACACCTTGGGTTGTCAGGAGGTGGAAACTGAAATAAATCATCTTTTAAAAAAAGTTTTATCTGTTTCATTTTGTCACACGTCTGTGAGGACTTTTCACGGAACTTGCCAGCTTTTCAGCTGTGCATCAGTGACCTTGAGATGTCCTTTTCTGGGTCAGAACGCCATCTTCCCCACTGGGGTCTTGTGCTGGCTCAAGGTATTCAGTGAGGCTTGGATGACCCTGATTTAAAACACTGTGGCCCCACCAAAAGTGCTCTGTGGTTGGGGCGGGCCCACCTGCCTTGGAAGCCAGGTGGAAAGAGCCATTTCTGTTCTGTTGTGCCTGGCATCACAGTGGGAATGAGGGCAGCCCCAATGTTGAACTGCTGGCTCACAGGCTGCTTGTGGCCTGTTCTGGGGGCGCTGTGGACTCTGGAATGTGTCTGTATGTTCAGCTTGTTGTCATCTAGAACCTTCCCACTTCCCCAGGGTCCCATGTGGCCCTCACCCACAGAGGTGCCGTGTGCCAAATCCAGTTCTAGAACGAGGAGAGAGGGATGTCAACAGGAGTCACCCATAAAGGATGAGGGGAGACAGCACTGTGTTGGGAATTTGTCCTTCAAATGTGTCCCCAAGGACCCAGGCAGGCAGAGCCCCACTGCCCCTTCTGTTTTCCCTGTACTCAGCTCCATGGACTTCTGTGATGTGCCCTTGGTCCCAAAAGGACCTTGGACATCATGTTCCTGCTTCTGACAGAAAATCAACAAAAACCACACCAGCTGCCATCCAATCAACTCCAACTCGTGTGATCCCTCGGCTATGGTGTTCCAGAAACAGATGCCCACGTCTGTGTCCCAAGGTGTCTCAGGGTGGACTCTAGCCACTAATCTTTCAGTTAATAGTCAAGTGCTTACCTGTGCGTGCCACCCAACGTTAATGCAGGTGAAACACTTCAGACTTCCGGGTCATAAGCTATGAAACGGGACAGAGCACAATTTGGCTGAGACCTAGCATTTATTGAGCACCTCCGGTGTGCCACGCACAGCGGAATCCCTGGAATAGCCTGCGAGATGAGTGACACTGTCCTCAAGGACAAGTAGCTTTCCCAGGGGGATGCGGCAGAGGATCCACGGCATCTGACTGCAAGCCATCCCTTTCTTCCTGCTGTCTGGGGCAGTGTTCTCTTCTTACTTGTGGAGCGCCCTGAGATCCTCCACTGGGTCCTCCTCCACAGAGCCATCCTCAGTGGCCTCCTCGTCTTTCTTCTGGCTCTGGAGGGTGCTCTGAGCACTCTGAAGAAGGAGAGTAGCAACAATATCAATAGCAACAATGGCAGGGCAGAACAGACAGCCTCAGTTCCAAGTGCTTCGTGCCTCATGGCGATTTGTTCACCTGATACCACAATCTCATGTGGAGGTACCATTATTAGCACCACTTTACAGGTGGGGAAGCTCAGGCACAGAGTGGTTAAGAAACATTTCCTATTTTGATCAAAAAGTCTATACAAGAATCCTGATCAAAGGGGGAAAGTGCAACACAGAGTTTCATATTGTCATGGAATCCAGACTTTCTGGATGCCTGGAGGCTGGATGAACTCCTGAAACTACTGTCCTGAGATAATCTTTAGAACTTAAACCAAAGGGATGCCCTGAAATCTTAAACCACGTTTCCCTGAAATCTTAAACCACATTTTCACTGAACTAGTGAGGAAGGTCTGCCTTGAGCACAATCTGTCTCTAGGAGATCAGTTTGACAGCAGGAACTCAAAAGGTGAGCTAGGAACCTTAGGGGCAGGAAGTTGATGTTAATGGGGAGGAACAGCTCGTTGCACAACCTGAATGTAATCCATGTCTCTGAATTGTGCATGTAGATACTGCTGAAGGAAGGCATGTTCTGCTGAGTACAGTCTCATCATCAACAAGAAGAAGTGCAATGTTAGAAAACAAAAAAGAAGAAATATTCCCAATGTTACAAAGCTCAGGAGCAGTGGATGGGGCCCAGGGTATGGGCCTCAGGGGTCATACTTCCCCCGTTGTTTTTTGTTGTTGTTGGTAAGTGTCATCAAGGGTGTTCCAACTCATAATGACCCTGTGTAGTGTTTCCAAGGAGAGCCTATTGGGTTTGAACTGCCAACCTTGTGGTTAACAGTCTAGTGCTTATTCGCACACAGGGTGGTTAGCCGTGCACTCAGTGGGTCTCTCTTGGTTGAATGCTCATAGGTCCCTGCAGAAATAGAACTGTGCTGGGTTACAGGTGTCTTACCCAGGCAACAATGCATGTAGCAAATGCACCTCATAACTTTCCTAAAATTAAAAAATTCTGAGGCCCATAGTTCCTCATGGGTGGGACTCAGGATTAGACCCAGCTAGAGCTTCAGAATGTCACCCAGGAGGCATCCCGGCACACAGTGGCCATGGGCAGGGAATGTGTGTGAGCAGTTCAAGACAGAGTCCAGGCCAGACTTCAGAATAGCCTTCACAGCTACACCTCTTTCTCAGCCGCCTCTGCTCTGCTCTCTGGGGTGCAGTCATCCTGTCGCCACTTTATCATAGGTCTGGCACCTCCTTCCCCACCCCCATCCAGTGCTCACCTGGCTGGTGAGAGCCCAAGGAACAGATGAAGAGGTGTTGGTGTCAGGGACTGGCCGAACATCATAACGCCCATAAGCTCCGCGCATTTTGGCTCTGAAATCCTGCCAGTGGGGAAATAGAGGAAGGGGTGGGGCTAGAAGGTTCAGAGATACCCAACACACTTGGAGCCCCCACCTGCATCAGGTACTGTCTGAGTTCCACATAATCTTTACAACAGCCTTGAAAGTGGGTATTATCCCTATTTTACAGGAGGGAAACTGAGGCCAATTGAGGGTAAGTAATTCATCCATAATCACACAGGAAGACAGACTAGAGATCACCCCACCCCCTCAAAGAACAACGTAGAAACAAGTAAAGACATAAGATCACGTTGACCTCCACGTGGGCCCATGTGCTGGTTTAAAAGCAGGTATTCAAATCCTCCTTCAAGAGGTGCTGTCAAATTTCCCTCCCCTCAGATGTGGACCGGCCTTAATGATTCACTGAGCTGCTTCTGAGTTTGTCACAAGAGTGACCCAACCGACACCTTCTCTGTCTCGGGATGCCCACTCTGAGAAGTGGCCGCCATGTTGTAAGGAAGCCCAGGCTGCCTGGAATAGCTCTGTGTGGATATTCTGGCCAAAGATCATACTGAAGACTCGGAAAGACTGACTTCAAAAGTGACCAGTGCTTGGTCTGTGGTCTCTGTCACCATGGTAAAGTCCTTCAGAGTTATTGAACAAGGGGGCCTGCAAATTCTCTGGCTTGTCTTATACCGGGATGATAGCCTTCATCAATCACCAACATGGGTGAGGAAGCCTTTGAAAGGACTCCAGCGGAGCCCAGTCATTGACAGACTGCAACTGCGTGAACCACCCAGCAGAGCCCAGCTAAACCCTGGGCCCTGAAACATACCAATAAAAGGTAACAGTTGTCTGACACCACTAGGTCTGAATAGTCCGATTGTTGTTGTTGTTGTCAGGTGCTGTAAAGCATCCCATTGTACAACAGAACAAAACTCTGCCTAATGCTCTGCCTTACATTCATTCCTACGTTTGATCCCATGGTTGCAGCTACCGTGTGAGTCCATCTCATTGACGGCCTTTTTCTTTTTCACTGACTCTCTACTTTATTTACCAAGCATGAAGCCCTTCTCCAGGGACTGGTCCAAAGTATCTTCAGATCATGTTGCTAAGTGCTGTCAGGTTGGTTCTGACTCATAGTGACCCTGTATAGGGTTTCCAACACTGTACATATCTGCAGGAACAGAAAGCTTTATCTATCTACCATGGAGAAGCTGGTGGTCTCGAACCACACCAGTGCTTATTGTACAGAACCACTGCATTCCCCATATATAGATTTGTTGTTTTTGTTAAGTGCAGTTGAATTGGTTCCGATCCTGTATAGGTTTTCCGAGGAGCAGCTGGTGAACTCGAACTGCTGGTGAACCGACTGCAGTACAATGCATTAACCCACTGTGCCACACCAGGACTCCAAACACATCATTTACATCAAAACTACACCAAGCATCACCCTGGAAACCCTTTTTGTTGTTGCTGTCCATTTGTTTGCCTTTAAATACACAGACAGTGATGAGCATGATGATATTCCAGATAGGCAGGGTTGGGGAAAATTCTCCTCTCGGCTTGCCATCCAAGGACAGACATTTAAAACAGCTCATCAGAAAGTTTTTCATGCTAGAAAACATTACCAAGACACATCTTGCATTCACACAGAACCCAAATCAGATTCAACCTCACGCACCAAACAAAAGAGGATCCTTGTGACCTACCTCAAGATCTCGTTCCATGTCATACTTATCCAGGGTCTGGAAGGCGCTGGAATACACCTCCACTGCTTTAGCATGGAAGACCATCTCAATGGTTACAAAGTCTGAAAAAATTTTCTGTGGGGAGAGAAACGCAAGCCACTTAAGTAATATTAATAGAAGGAGAAGATCTGGTGTGCCGCTGTCAGATGAGCATTGAACTGCAAGGTCAGCAGTTCAAACCCATCTGCCACTCCTTGGAAACCCTATACAGAGGTCGCTATGAGTTGAAAATAACTCAAGGGCACTTAACAGTATTTGAAGGAGATTCCTGGGGGAACGTCGTGAGTAGATAAAACAGGCAGGCAGATGGGGTTGTCTGTCCTTATGGAGGTGGGTCCTGGAGGGGAACTTCAGTATGTTGGTTTTAATTTGATTTGTTTCTGTTTGCGCACAAAATGCATCAGAGGTCAGAATGATGCCCAGGTCCACAGTGGAGTGTCTTGCTTCTTCCTCCTTTCCCACTTCTCCTGCCTCTTTAGAAGTAACTTCCAGAGGGTTCTTGTTGATCCTGCTATGTCTTTGTATGAATATAAAATACGACGTTTGCTTTTATCATTGTTGTACACTGACTCATAGCAACCCTGTATAGAGTTTCCAAAAGCAGCTGGTGGGTTTGAACCACCGACTATGTGCTGGTCCTATAGTAGCACATCAGCAAGAAATCCTGATGATCTTTCCCTAGGAAACTTCCTTATGCATAAAGATGATTTTACATCTGTGTGTTGTTATTAGGTATTATCCAGGTGGTACTGACTCATAGCAACCTTAAGCACAGCAGAATGAAACACTACTCAGTCCTGTGCCAACTTCACTATCACTACAATGCTTGAGCCCATCATTGCTACCACTGTGTCCATCCATCTCATTGGGGTCTTCCCCTTTTTTACTGACCCTCAACTTTACCAAGCATGATGTCCTTCTTCAAGGCCTGGTCCCTCCTGATAATATGTCCAAAGTATGAGGGACAAAGTCTGGTCGTCCTGGCTTCGAAGGAACATTCTGGATGTACTTCTTCCAGCATCGATTAGTGTGTTCTTTTGGTGGTCTATGATACTTTCAATATTTTCCTCCAACACCATAACTCAAATGCATCAGTTCTTCTATGGTCTTCTTTATTCATTGTCCAACTTTCATATACACATGAGGCTATTGAAAATACTATGGCTTGGGTCAGGCTCTTTAAAGTGTTGAAGAGCAAACAGACATCTTTGCTCTTCAACACTTTAAAGAGGTCTTGTGCAGCAGATTTGCCCAGTTCAATACGTCATTTGATTTCTTAATTGAAACTTCCACGAGTGTTGATGGTTGATCCATGCAAAATGATGTCTTTGACAACTTCAATCTTTTCTCCATTTGTATGGATGTTGTTTACTGGTCCAGTGGTGAGGATTCTTGTTTTCTTTACACTGAGATGCAACGTATACTAAAGGCTGTGGTCTTTGATCTTCATCAATATTTCAAGTCCTGTTCACTTTCAGCAAGCAAGGTTGTATCATCTGCATGTCACAGGTTGTTAATGAATTTTCCTACAATCCTGATGCCATGTTCTTCATATAACCCATCTTCTTGGATTATTTGTTTAGCATACAGATTGAATAAATATCAGTGTCCCCATGTTCTGTTTGAACAACTGCCTCTTGGTCTATGTACAGGTTCCTCATGAGCACAATTGTGTGTTCCAGAATACTCATTCTCCACAGTGTTTTATGTACCTTGTCATGATCCACACTATCAAAAGCTTTTGCGTAGTCAATGAAGTACAGGTAAACATCTTTCTGGTATTTTTTTGCTTTCAGCCAACATCCATCTGACGTCAACAGTGATATATATCTCTCTGTAATCAGTCCGAAGCCAGCCTGAACCTTTGGCAGTTCCCTGTAAATGTACTGTTAAAGCCATTTTAAAATTATCTTTAGCAAAATTTACTTGCATGTGCTATTAATGATATTGTCCAATGATTTCTGCATTCCATCGGGTCACTCCTCTTTGGAATGGGTACAAATATGCATCTCTTCCAGTCAGTTGGCCAGGTAGCTTCTCATCTATGTCAAGAAATTTGCAAGACATTACATCTGTGTAGTGTGTTTTGCCAAGGACTTATTCTTCTTGGATCAAGTATCAACACTCACAGAAGTGGCAGTTAAGAGATTAAACAATGTATTGCATCAGGCAAATCTGTTGCACAGGACTTTTTTTAAAGTGTTGAAGAGCAAAGATGTCAGCTTGAGGACTAAAGTGCGCCTGCCCCAAGCCATGGTATTTTCCATAACCTCGTATGCATGCAAAAGCTGGACAGTGAATAAGGAAGACTATAGAAGAATTGATGCTTTTGAGTTATGGTGTTAGAGGAGAATATTGAAAGTGTCATAGACTGCCAAAAGAACTAATAGATCCATTTTGGAAGAAGTGCAGCCAGAGTGCTCCTTGGAGGCCAGGATGGCCAAACTTCGTCTCTCATACTTCGGACATGTTGCCAGAAGGGACCAGTCACTGGAGAAGAATATCATGTTTGGTAAGGTGGGGGGTCAGAGAAAAAGAGGAAGACCCCCCCCAGTGAGATGGATTGGCCAAGTGGCAGTATGGATGGACTCAAGTGTGGCAACAGTAGTGAGGTTGGCCCAGGATCGGGCAGTGTTTTGTTCTGCTGTGCATAAGGTTGGTACCAACTCGATGGCACCTAACAATAACAAGTGTGTCTTTAAGGAACCCTGGTATCATAGTGGATTGCGAGTTGGACTGCTAACTGCAAGGTCAGCAGTTCAAATCCTCCAGGTGCTCCTCAGGTGAAAGATGAGGCTTTCTGTTCTGGTAAAGATTTACAGTCTCGGAAACCCTGTACAGGGTCCCTATGAGTCGGAACTGACTCCACAGCACATAACAACAACAACAACCCACCACCTCCACCAGTGTGTCTTTGTGTCATTTCTTAAACTAGTCTTGGCAGATGGATACTTACACACACACACACACACACACACACACACATATATATAAAGTCTTTGTAATGATCAAAGCAGTCATAAATACCCTACTACAAATATTTCTTTCCTGGCCTCCTGGGGAGGAGTTGCTGAGCTTCAGGTTGAATGCATTCACCGTCCACAGGGATTGTTCTGGAAGTGTGTGAGGACTCCTGCTCTGTGAGGAGTTAGTTTCTCACGGGTCATCTTCTCAGTTCTGTAGACAGAGCCCATCCCTACAGCCTTTGTGTCACCCTCTCTGAGGATGGGGACTTGCAGGCAGCTTGCTGTGAGACCTTCCAGCTTGGCCACCCAGGGGCTGTGGTGGTCTTCCTGGAGACAGGAGGGGCAGTCACTGGTGGGTGTCACTCTGCTCTGCCTGGGCCTTCCCTCTCAATGTGACGACTCCACTATCAAGTGTGGTATCGGGCTAGCCTGGATGGAGGAGACCCTTGTGAACTCTTGTCAGGAGATTCTGCCCAACTCAGCAGGCACTTGTAGAACTACTTGTATGGGGCCCCAACCATGGAATGGAATTGTAGCTTCATTCTTCATACAAGGGGAATCCTGGATGGGGTTCCAGCCCAAAAATGCTAAATCCCATCTGCCTGGAAGTCCCTGGAAAGCAAGTCCCTGACTAGTGTAAATGGTTAACACACTTGACCGCCATCTAAAGGCACCTTGGAAGAAAGGCATGGCAATCTACTTCCAAAACATCAGCATTGAGAGCAGGATAGAGACAGGGAGTGGGGGAGGGCATTGTGTGTCAGAATGTGGCCGCTGGGTTTTCTGGGCATAACCTTGGGAAATGGCCTCTCTGGTCAGCTGGTCTTCATATCCTGGCTTTCTGAGACCCTTGCAATAGCTGGACTGTGCATTGGGACCTCGGTCTGGGTGGAAGAGGGACGACCTGGGCCTATCCCATCAGCATCTCCCATAGTCTATTCAGAGAAGGGTGCTTCAGGAGGGAAGAGCTGGGGGTTGTTGAGTCTTTTCCAGTGGAGGCCTCTGAGCAGGACAGCTGTGCCCTGAGCTGCTGGCCTTCAACGCCTACAGCCAGGATGGACTGTCCTGGGAGCTGGGCTCCTGAAAGCTGTGTGCACACAATTCCCACACATACACATATGCACACACAAGTACCTAGACACAAAGCATGCCTGCACATGCATGAACACATATCATCAAACATGTGGATGTTTATGGAATGTTCACAGCACACTGGCATGCCAGTACACACATGCACATACTCAATCCTGCATACAATAACACAACCTGCTCACATGAATACACATGTACATGCCAGCACACATATGTGCACACCTATTCCCACACATACTCACATGTGCACTCACATGTACACAAGGTACCTAGACACAAGGTCACCTACATACATATGAACACACACAATCACTCATACATGTGCACGTTACACAACTTTCACTTTTATGCACAATGCACACATGATCATGCATGTGCACATTCAAATAATGCTCACAGTACACACATGGACCTAGTCACTCCTGCACACAGGACATCTGTTCGCATGAGCACACATGTATGTCCATGCACACCAACACATATGGACACATTTTTACACACATATATAGTCACATGTACACACAGGTACCTAGACACCTAACAAGGATGCCTGCATACTTGTGAACACATGCATGATCACAAATACAGACATGCATACTTATGTAATTCTCACACACACACACACCAGCACACACATGAACATACACGTTCACTCTTGCATACGCGAACACATAATCTGCTTACCCAAACACATCCACACATGGGTGTATCCACACACATATACACACAGCCCTATACATGTGGACACACATGTTCACATAGACACACACTGGCAATACACACATGCATTTTGTACAATACACTACACACATTGTATTCATATACAAGCACACAGAGGACCCCTACCTGAAATTCCTTCAGCTGTATATACCATTGGTCACATGAACACCTACATACATGTTCACACAGACACACACAGAGTACCTCCTACTGAAATTCCTTCAGCTGCATATACCAATGGTCACATGAACACCTACATACATGTTCACACAGACATGCACAGAGGACCTCCTACCTGAAGGTCCTTCAGCTTCTGCTTCTGGAAGGCATCAATTGTCTCCTCCAGCTGCCGCGTGGTGTGGCTGGCGTCCACCGAGGCCCTCTGTACACTCGTTTCTGCCTGGCTCGAGGGACGTGAGAGGTGGATCCTTCTCAGTCCTCTCACCTGGGCTCTCAGTGGGAGGAGTGACTAAGCAGGGCTGGGACTAAGGGGACGGACACTGCAGTTGACAAGCCTGCTGACTCATTGTATGATCTCAGACACATCCCCTAACCTCTCTGGGCCTCCTAAGCAGGGAGCAGTAACAAGGCCTGCATTGTAGGGTGGTTGTGAAGATTAAGCAGTAGGCACTCATTGAGTTATTATCCACACTCACTGACCGTTCCTGCATAGGTGGCGTTTCTCTGGTTTAACTTAGGCATCCCAGCGCTCTCTGTCAGTGCGTCATTAGCTTGCGTGTTGCTGTGATGTTGGCAACTATGCCACCGGTATTTTAAATACCAGCAGGGTCCATGGTGGTCAGGTTTCAGCCGAGCTTCTAGACTCAGATAGACTAGGAAGAAGGTGAGACAGACTACTTCTAAACATTTAGCCCCTAAAACCTTCTGAATAGCAGCGGGACATTGTCACATATGGTGCCGGAGAATGAGCTCCTCAGGTTGGAAGGACAGCATGCTTGGTAAAGTGGAGGGTCAGGGAGAAAGAGGAAGACGCCCAGTGAGATGCAGTGACACAGTGGCATCAACAATGGGCTAAAATGTAACGACAGTTGTGAGGTTGGTGCAGGCCCAGGCAGAATTTCATTCTGTTGTGGGGTCACTATGAGTCCGAACTGATTAGACGGCACCTGACAATAACAACAGTCATTCATTCCTCTGATTGTCGTGCCTGAGGGACCTTCTCCAGGCCAGGCCCAGGACATGAAGAACCTTTGTTTTGAAATCAGACACCCTTGGATCTGAATTCTGAGTTTGCCATTTAACTGTGTGACTTTGGGCAAATTCACCTTTCATAGCCTTGGTTTCCTCATTACTAAAATGGGACCTTAGTTATGATCTTAATTGCATATTTGTAAAATGCCTGGCCTAGGTTGTTGCAGGGAGCTGGGGATTGGCGCCCAGAAATAAGAAAAGAAGGCCAGAGCAATTGCTAACTCAAATGAGTCAGCTTTGACTCATGATGATCCCACTCTCATCAGAGTAGAGTATGTTTTCAATGCCCAGCTGTTTCCTTTAACTAGATTCCCAGGCCTTTTTTCCAAGGCACCTCGGCCTGGACTTGAACCACGCACCTAGAGACTGAGCATGAAGTTGTTGTTGTTGTTATATGCCGTGGAGTCGGTTCTGACTCATAGCAACCCTGTACAGGGTTTCTGAGGCTGTAAATCTTTACAGGAGCAGAAAGCCTCATCTTTCTCCCACGGAACAGCTGATAGTTTTGAACTGCTGACCTTGTGGTTTGCAGCCCAAGTAGGTACAATAAATAAAATAAAAGCAATACATAAAAACAAGCAAATGAAACAATAAAGTAAAATAACAACAAAAGCCATCAAGCCTTTGTCTTATAGATGAGGAGACTTGGCCCATGGAGGGGAGTAATTTCCTGGGGTCCCCTAGCCATGTTGTGAGATGCTTATTACCTGAGTGTGGGTCCACATTCCCCACAATGATGACACTCACCTGGGACTGAAATTGTTGCCGTTAAGGACCCAGGATAACCAAGCAGCCCCCTGGGGTGCCCCCCTCCCCAGCCGCCCCTGCCCAGTGAACCTGGTGACGAGTGAGAAGGATACGATCATTTGCCGATCCGAGGGTGACTTCTGCCTCACTTTCTCCAGCTTTTCCAGCTGCTTGATTTCGTTGTTCCGGACACGTTTGAACTTCTTGATCTCAGCCTACAGGAAGAGAACATTGTTTTCCAGGACCCAGGGAAGTGAGACCTGGTGCTGCCCACGGTGGCCCGCATTCACCTGGGTCTGCTTGATCTGTGCTCCGTAGAGTTTCAGGGGGTTCACAACCTTGGTTTCCAGCCTCTCGACCTAGAAGACCGGGGACAGGCAGATGGAACCAAGGTGATGCTGGGTCACCCAGCCTCCAAGCAGCATTTATAGAGCACCATCTGCATACCTGGGGAACACAAGACAACTCCCCCCCCCCCTTTAAGGAGCGAGCACCCGGCCTGGGGTCAGTGTCTGTGTCTTCCCCCCATGAGCTCAGGCAGCACATCTGAAATACTTCCTCTCACACTGCCTTACCTCCTCCCCTGTAAAATGTTCATGACTGCACCCACTAGGGCCACAGGCGACTAAGTGGCCAGTACAACCTTCACGGAGCCCTAGGGATGCAACAGTTAGGTTCTTGGCTGTTAACTGGGAGGTCAGCAGTTTGAATCCACCAGCTGCTCCAAGGGAGAATGATCTGACAGTCTGTACCCATAGAGAGGGCAGCCTTGGAAACCCTGTGCAGCAGTCGTCCTCTGGGGTCAGAAGCAACGTGAAGGCACTGGGTTTGGGTTTAGGTTTTTTGGGTACAACCTTTAGACAGCACCTGGTACAAAACTCACCTTGGCGAAGGTCGTTAACCTGGGAGGGCTAAGTCTCTACTTCTAAGACGCAGTGGTTAAAGACGCAGTGGTTAAAGACGCAGTGGTTAAAGACGCAGTGGTTAAAGAGCTCAGGGGCTGACTGAAAGATCAGTGAGGCGGCACCACAGTTGATCCATCGGGGGAGATGAGACGGTCTGTAACCCTGGAAGCCCTCTGGGGAAATTCTTTTCTACCCTATAAGGTCACTTGACAGCAATGATTTTGGTTTTTCCATTTTTGAGTCCCTACTACGTGCATTGTTCTAATTTTTGAGCAAGGTGGCATGACAAGACCACTGTGCAGATAAGATAAACCGAGGCTTGTTTTGGGGGCGGGATCTGTGATGAAAGTCACAGCAGGACAGAGAGGGGACTTCCATCCAGAACATTCCCATCCAGCCTCATGATCTAAGCTGGAGAAGCAAGACAGAAAAAGTTAGCCCACGTGAAGGTTCTGAGCTACAACTGCTTGCTTGTCCTGGAGCCTAGACAAAGGCAATTCACAAATACAGAAGATTACCCGATCCTCAAGTGAATGCGGTCTCTAAGCACCTCACTACTAACCAGAAGGTCGGTGCTTCCAGTCCACCCAGAGGTGTCAGGACAAAAGGCATGACAATCTACTTCCAGAAAACCAGCCACTGGGAACCCTGCCGAGGGAGCGCAGTCCCACTCTGATGCGTCAGGGGGCGCCCTGACTAACTGGCGGAGTAGACACTGCTGGACTGTCCTCTTCCTTGAGGAGACAGGTGCTAACACCTGTCTTGAGAGTGTGTGTGCTGGGGACTGTCCGCTGGCTAGATGCTGTCTGTCTGTGCAGCCTCTTTGGTGAAGCTGTCTGACTGTGCAGCCTCTTTGGTGATGCTGTCTGTCTGTGCAGCCTCTTTGGTGATGCTGTCTGTCTGTGCAGCCTCTTTGGTGATGCTCTCTGTGCAGCCTCTTTGGTGATGCTCTCTCTGTGCAGCCTCTTTGGTGATGCTCTCTCTGTGCAGCCTCTTTGGTGATGCTGTCTTATCTGTGCAGCCTATTTGGTGAGTGGCCTGTGGGCATAGGCCGCCTGGTCTGATGCATCTACGTAGCACAGCTCTCTCTTTCCAACAAGTTATGCAGTGGATTTCTCTGGATTGGCAGATTTATGTTTTAATTAATCCCTCACCTCCCAGGATTTCTGTTCCTTCTCTAGACCCTTATGGACCCCGGAGATGTCTTCAACCTGGGGTTCAGAGACCCCCAGTAGGGTCTCCTGGCCTGGCCCACCCTTTATCTCACTTAGGGAAGCCCAGCTCCTGTCTGTATAGATGGTGAAGCGAGGGTGCAGCCTGCTCACCTCTGCCTGCCGGTAGTCCTGCACTTTGGCCAGGTCCTCAGCAAAGTTCCTCAGGGTAGCCCGCAGCTCAGGGTTCTCCGTGTTGGCGAAGTCCATGAGCTGTTTGACCAGCTGGTCGGCCTTGTCCCGCAGCCGGGCCGTCTTGCGGGTGTAGGAGGCCAGTAGTGAGCAGAATTGGCCAAAGTACTTCTCGCCGTTGGTCACTGTGTTCTCCATCCCTCTCACCTGGCTGTCCCTGTAAGGAGGGAGCGGGAGGCTGAGCATCACAGACACACAGATGCCCCTGCTAAGTGAACTCCTGCTCCATGGGATGCACCATGCCAGGCACCTGCCCACCCTTTGCATTCCCAGGACACCCGCTAAGGCAGGTGAAGAAGAGGCTCAGAGAGCGGGACCTGCTATCGGGTTACACTCATAAGAGACTGGCAGGAATATAAATACAACTTTCGCTCCAAGTCTGGCCATTGCTTTCCTGGGGTCCCTTTGTTATTAGATGCCATTGAGTTGGCCTCGACTCACAGTGACCCCATACACAAAGCCATCCCCAGGATCAACCAGTTGCAGATCAGACCACCGTGATCCATAGAGTGTGTATTAGCTGATTTTTGGAAGTCAGTCTCCAGGCCTTTCTTGCTGGTGTGGAAGCTCAGCTGAGACTTAGCAACACAGCAACATGCTCCACAGACGGATGGGTGGTAACTGGGCATGCTGTGTGGGAGGCATTGAATCCAGGCCTCCCGCATGGAGGGTGGGACCCCTGTCAAAGGGTTCTTGTCTTCCTAGTACTGGTGTCCTTTAGGATGACAGCCCATCACGTCCTCCTGACTAACTCCCCCCAAGCTGTGCGCGGTCTCCCTTCTCTGAGGCCTAGTGTCCTGAGTGTGTTCTTGCTTCCCCCTGTCACTTGGTGTGGTGCTTGGTTCCTGAGCTGGAGCTGCCTGGCCATCTGTCCATGCTCCCAGCCTGGGGCCTGGCGTGCTTGGCTTCCTCTCCTCCCCCACTCGTTCACCTCTCCCCTGGCACCTTCATCCCCAGCAACTCGCTGATCTGCTTCCCTCGGTTAGATCCCTACCCCAGTTACCCTCTAATCACACCCCTGAGCTGTAAACTAGAGAAGGGCCCTCTGTCCTCCTAATGAACCCTAACCTGTGTGCATTACCTGTAACATACTAGTGGACCCCCCAGACTGCTGGTTCTGACCTACCCAGGGGTGCTTCAGAAAAAAGTCCTAACAATCTCCCTCCCCCGAAATCAGCCAACGGAGACCCTGAGCACATAGGGTCTCCATGAGGTATAGTCAGCTTCGCGGCAACAGGTTTGTTTATTGTTATCATCATGATTGTCAAGGAGCTCTGGTAGCGTAGTGGTTGCAAATCGGGCTGCTAACCTCAGGGTCAGCAGTTCAAAACTACCAGCTGTTCCAAGGGAGAAAGATGAGGTTTTCTGCTCCTATAAAGATTTACAGCTTCGGAAACCCTGTACAGGGTCGCTATGGGTTGGACCTGACTCGATGGCACTTAACAACAACAACAAAGATTTACAGCCTCAGAAACCCTGTGCAGGGTTGCTATGAGTCGGAACTGACTCCACAATACTGGTACTTAACAACAACAACAACAACAACATGACTGTTAGCACTATCACCATTGTCAGATGACAGATCTGATGCCTGAGACGTGAAGCGCTTAACGGGCACACGACTGGTACGGCCTCAGTTCCTCCAGGTGTGTGTGGGTGTGCATGCACACGTATGGGGTGTTCAGGTCAAACATGCAAATTCCCAGGCCCCTTCCCAGCCGTTGTGAACCAGAATTGCTGTGAGCCAGGCCCAGGAAGCAGCACTTTTAGGAAGCCCAACAGGTGAGACTCCTCAAATTTGTGTGCTGTGAGGCAGCAGGCCAGTGAGGTAATATAGATCAGGGATAGATCAGATGCAGAGATGACCAGGTGACAGACCCAGGGAGGCCAGGTGTCTCGGTGACGGACCCAGGCAGAGCTCCTCAGCTCCATAAGGAGGTTTGGGAAGGACAGATGGGACCTAGTAAATGTGGCCACCATCAGAGTGCTGCGTACTGATGCGGGGGATGCAGGCAGGCCCCAGGTTCCAGAAGCTTCAGTGATTTCGTGCCCTGTGCTTCTCTTGACCCTGAGATGAGCATGGTGTGTGAGGGAGGCCCCTCTGCCCCCCCACCCTGTGCCCCCAGAAGCAGTCCTAGGCTGCATGTGGTCCCAACAGCCCCACCCCTGCCCCTCCAGCTCCAGTCTCTGGCAGAGCAACTCACCTGGTGAGGATGAGGTTCATTGTGACCAGAGGTGCAGCTGTCCTGGTCTCAGGGAGTCAGGTCAGGGTCCCAGGAGTCCTACAGGCTCTGGAGAGGCTGGGCAGGGCTGGGCGCAGCTGTGTGGCCCTGGCTCCGGGGAATGCTGCCACCTGGTTGCTGGGCGACGTTCCTACCCACAGCAGGCCCTGGGAGGAGCTGGCAAGGTCGCCTGGCAACGTTTCCCAAGGCTGGCCAGGGTCGAGAGGGCCTCCCCAGCCTTGCTTTGGCTTAGGGCCCCAAGACATCCCCAGTCTCTCAGAGACAGAGTTTCGTGGGACCCTTGTTTAGGGTCCTCAGGAAGTGTCAGGGAGAAGCTAGAGGACCTCAGAGTGCTTAGCAGTCCAGTGCTTATCTTAGCGTGATACCAGGGCCCCTTAAGTTACTGATTGTTGTTGTTGTTAAGTGCCATGAAGTCGGTTCTGACCCATAGCGACCCTGTACAGGGTTTCCGAGGAGCAACTGGTGAGCTCAGACCACTGACCCTGAAGTTCAAACTGACTTTGGAGTCCAGCGAATTAATCCACAGTGCCACACCAGGACTCCATGTGATTGATAGAGGTTTACAAATATCCTTACCACAATATTTTAGCTAAAACACCAGAAAATTTGACAAACTCAGTGACTATAAAAACACTGGTGGCACTGTGGTTAAAGCACTATGATTTGAATCGAAAGGTCAGCAGTCCCAAAGATGCCAAAATGGTGAAGGTTTTAGCCGTGCAGGTAATGCAGTTGGGTCGGTTCCAACTTGGTGAACCTGTATAGGGTTTTCAAGGAGCTGCTGGGGAGTTTAAGACACCCACCATGTGATTCAAACCCCCCTTGCGGTCCTGTGCTTTACCATGCAGTCCCACAGCAGGGCTCCGGACTAAAGTTTTACAGGAATGGCTAAAGGGCAGGAATTGTCCACCTAGAGGTTCGCAGCCCGGTGCTCAACTCACTGTGCCCGCAGGGTTCCTTCATTTGCCCCTTGTTCACTCATAGTGAACATGTACAGGGTTTCTCAGGAGCAGCTGGTGAGTTTGAACCATTGACCTTGTAGTTTGTAGTCCCATGCTTATTCTATAGTGCCGTACCGGCACCCCTTTGATTTATAGGCATATTTTGTTATTGTTAGGTGCCATCGAGTTGGTACCAACTCATAGCAACCCTATGCACAACAGGATAAAACACTGCCCGATCCTGGGCCAACCTCACATTTGTTGCCACACTTGAGCCCATTGATGCTGCCACTTGGCCAATCCATCTCGTTGGGGGTCTTCCTCTTTCCCTCTGACCCTCCACCTTACCAAACATGATATCCTTCTCCAGTGACTGGTCCCTCCTGACAATATGTCCAAAGTATGAGAGATGAAGTTTGGCCATCCTGGCCTCTAAGGAGCACTCTGGCTGCACTTCTTCCATCACAGGTCTGTTTGTTCTTTTGGCAGTCCATGGCACTTTCAATATTCTCCTTATAGATCTATGCAGTCTGGACTTATGAAGTGTTTTTGTTGTTATAACCAACTTCAGGAAGATTTTTATAACAAATAATACATTTCTGCTGAAGCAGTGCACAAACATTTTACAGACTGGCGTTCTGGTGTCACTCCTGTGAGGGTCACCTAGTGCTGTCCATGCCGCCCCCAAGTCACGTTGCTGTCTGTTGACCTACTATGTGCTTGAAGGGCCGCAGACTGAAGAGGGTTTTTTGTTGTTGTTTTTTTGTGCGCCGAGAAAACCAGGAGCTTTACAGTCAGCGAGCCTGTTACCGTTGGGTCAGTTCTGGGTCAGAGCGACCCCACAGGTGGGAGCAGACCTGCCCCAGAGGATTAATGAGTCACATCTTTATGAGAGCAGACGGCTCCATCTTTCCCGTGGAGTGGATGGTGGCTTCTGACCACTGATCTTCCTGTTGGCAGCTCAGCACTTAACCACTGTGTCACCAGGGCACCTTGTTGTTGTGTGCTGTTGAGTCGGTTCTGACTCATAACGACCCTGTATAGGGTTACTGAGGCTATGAATACTATGGGAGCAGAAAGTCTCATCTTTCTTCCACGAGCAGCTGGTGGATTTGAACTGCTGACCTTGCAGTTAGCAGCCCACCAAGTCTAAATCTCAGCTCCCAGACCTACTGTGTGACCTTGGGTAAGTCAGCTGCCCTCTCTGTTTGTTATTTGAAAATGTCATGCTTGTAAACATGAACTTCCCTCTAAAATCGAATCTTTTCAGGCAAAGCAGTTCACATTTTTGAGTTGAGACCGGGTGTGGAGCTGTGTTACTGCCAGTAGCCACGAGAGGGCAGCAGAGACTCTTGTACTGAGAAATTCCTGAGGGTAAAGGGTGAAGTGGGACTGGCTTACCCCCAGGAAACACCCTGAAAGCAAACACAGTTGAGAAAAAAACCCTGCCCTAATACAGGGTGGAGAGTCCTGGTGTGGCGCTGTGGGTTAATGCACCAGACTGCAAAACCATTTAACTGCAAGCTCACCAGCTGCTCCTCGGAAACCCTATACAGGGTCGCTATGGGTCAGAACTGACTCGACAGCACTTCACAACAATAACACAGGGTAGAAGAAAGAGAAGAGGGTCCAAGGAAGCAGGCAAAGGTGCAATGCACCATCTTAGGAACTTAAAAAACTTAAAGCCAGCTCTGTAGGATCAGCACTGGGCTACCACAGGGTCGGTAGTTCAAACCCACCAGCTGCTCCTTGGAATCCCTGTACAGGGTCACTATGAGTCGTACCCAACTCAACAGCACTCTAGAAGTTTGGCAAGATGGAGACATCTTGTGGCCAGAGAGAGGAACACAGATGCCACCCCCAGCCCAGAGCTTGTCACTTAGACAATCGTCCCTGACTGGCTGCATTGGTTCCATCAAGACTAGGGGGCATCCTTGCCCCCTTTTCCTGTAGGTGTGTTTTTGTGGCACCACAGAAGAGAGGGTTGCAGAATCCCCACCATTTCCCTAGACCCAGTGTGTATCCTGGGAGAACACAGAAGTCTCCTGAAGGACCCCTTGCCCCACCCCACCCAGAGCTTAGCCCCTTGCCATTTGGACATCTCATAAGGTCTGGTGTCCATTCCCACCATCACCCTAACGCCATCAGCCACTGCTCTCTCCACCCACGGCGGTACATTGTTCTGTGTGCATGTGCTTCTAAATCACTAGGGAATGTGCTATAGAGCTGATAGCGTTCACTCTAATACCTGAGTGTGTATTTCCTAAGAACAAGGCCAGGCTCTTACACAACCATAGTGCAAATCAGAAAGTTAACATACAACATCGTATTAGCTAATTGAAAGAGCCCTGTTGATACACTGATTCAGTATGCTTCACTTTTAGCAAGCATGTCTTCATCGACTTTGGCAAGCCAAGGTGTGTCATCTGCATATTGTAGCTTGCTAATGTCTTCCTCCAATCCTAATGCCTCTTTTTAGAATCCAGCTTCTCAGATTATTTGCTCAGCATACAGACTGAATTAGTATGGTGAAGGATACAACCCTGATTCACATCTTTCCTGTTTTTAAACCTCTCAGTATCCTCTTGTTCTATTTGAACAACTGCCTCAAGAGTGTGTATGTACAGGTTCCTCATGAGCACAATGAAGTGGTCTGGAATTCACATTCATGGCAATGGTGTCCATAGTTTCCTGTGAGCCATACAGCCACATGCCTTTGCATAGTCAATAAAGCACAGGTAAACACGTTTCTGGTATTCTTTGCTTTCAGTCCAGATCCATCTGACATCAGCCATGGTATCCTTTGTTTTAAGTCCTCCTCTGAATTCACCTTGAATTTTGGCAGTTTCCTGTCAATATATTGTTGCAATATGATGGTTGTTACAACCATCTGTAAATTATCTTTAGCATAATGTTGTTTGCGTACGAAATTAGCGATGTTGTTGTTGTTATCGGGTGCTATTGAGTCAGTTCCGCTCACAGTGACCCTATGCTAAGCAGAACGAACACTGCTTGTTTATGCGCCATCTCACAGTTGTTAATGCTGCAGCCCTGTGCCAGTCCAGCTCATTGGAGGTCTTCCTCTTTTTCATTGACCCTCCATTTCACCAACCATGATGCTCTTCTCCAAGGACTCCAAGGCCTGGTCCCTCTTGATAACATGTCCGAAGTCTGACATCCTGGCTTTTAAGGAGCATTGTGACTGTACTTCTTCCAACACAGATTGATTTGTTCTTCTAGCAGCTCAGGTGCTGCCAATGTTCCTCTTAACCATAACACCATAATTCAAATGCATTGATTTTCTAGGGTCTTCCTTATTCATTGTCCATTTTTCATATGCATATGAGGCTACTGAACATGCCATGGATTGAGTCAGGCACACCTTAGTCCTCAAAGTGATCTCTTTCCGCTTCAACACTATAAAGAGGTCTTGTGCAGCAGATTTGCTTAATGCAACACACCATTTGATTTATTGACTGCTGCTTCCTTGAGTGTTGATTGTGGATCCAAGTAAAATGATGTCTTGGACAGCTTCAATCTTTTCTCCATGTATCATGATGTTATTTATTGGTCTAGTTGTGAAGATTTTTAGTTTTCTTTACATTGAGGTGCATCCAAGACTGAAGGTTGTAGTCTTTGAGCTTCATCAGTGTTTTAACTCCTCTTCACTCCCAGTAAGCAAGGTCGTATCATCTGTATATTGCAGGTTGTAATGAGTCTTTCTCCAATCTGATACCATGTTCTTTTTCATAGAATCCAGCTTTTCGGATTGTTTGTTCAGCATACAAATTGAATAACTATAGTGAAAGGAAATGACCCTGATGCACATCTTTCCCGATTTTAAACTATTCAGTGTTCCCTTGTTCTGTTTGCATGACTAACTGGCACTTGGTCTCTGAGCACAGTGAAGTGTTCTGGAATACTCATTCTTTGCAATAGTATGCATAGCTTGTTATGATCCATAGTCAAAGGTCTTGGCATCAATAAAACACAAGTAAATATCTTTCTGGTATTCTCTGCTTTCAGCCAAGATCCATCTGACATCAGCAATGATATCCCTCATTGTACATCCTCCTGTGAATTTCACTTGATGTTCTGGCAGTTACCTGTTGCAGCCATATTTTAATTATCTGCAGCAAAATTGTATTTGCATATGGTATAAATGATATTGTTTGATGATTTTCACATTCCGTTGGG